GAAGCACACAGTTTATTTGGTTTCCCAAACTCACAGCTGGAGAGGAATTTTGCCTCGGAAGGAATCGTACTTCCGCGTCTCACCCATGTCTGACTTAGATGTTTTCGCTTGACTCGACTTGCTCACTCTCTCAGTCGTGTCTGACTTTTTGCGACCCGGTGGACTGTAGACCGCCAGGCTCCTCTGTCCATGGGTTTCTCCAGGCAAGAATACTGGAGCGGGTTGCATTTCTTCCTCCAGGGGATCTTGCCAACGCGGGGGACGGATGCAAGGATTGAACTCGCCCCCCCCCCCGCATTGCAGGCGTACTCTGCCACTGAGGCATCGGGGAAGCCCTAGATGACGTTTCGATGAGACTTTGAATTTTGGGCTTTAGAGGTAATGCTGGGTTGAGTTGAGACTTTTGGGATTGTTGGGCTGGAACGAGTGTATTTTACGCTCAAGAAGAACGTACATTCGAGGGGCCTGCGGTGGTACTCTGTGGACACACGAGGAAGTTGCGTGGCCGCCCAGAGACGTTAAGACGTTTCCCAAGTCACACAGCGGTGAAGTGACCATGCAGGGACGTCCCACCCAGCTGTGTGTCTGGCTCCAAAGCCCTGCCCCGCCAGCTCAGGGTGGGGGTCGACCTTCCGTCCCAGTCTCCCTCGCAGCTCAGCTTTGGGAGCCCTCCGCAAGGAGGTACCCTCTCTACTCCCATGAAACGCTGCGGCCATGTGGTCATCTAAGAGGCCGGGCTGGCCACAGAACGCAGATTCTGTTCTCCAGAAAGGAGGCAGAAGGCCCATTTCCCTCCCTTATTTGAACCAGCAGCAACTTGCTAGAAATGCTGACTCTGAAATTTCCCACAGACTTGAAGGCTGCCAGCTCTGTTCCAGAACATTCTAAATTTTCTCTCTGCATTTCAGCTGTTAAAATGACTCCCTCGTCCCTGTACTGGGGAAACAGATAGACAAGCCGTGGCACGTCCATACGCTGGGCTAGTTCTCAGCAATGAAAAGGAAGGAACCATTGGCCCAGGCAACAGCATGGATGACGCTAACCTGCATTAAGCTGAGTGGAGAAAGCCAAACTCAAAAGGCTGTGCCAGGGGAAAAGAAGAAAAGAGGCTGGAAGGGTTGAGATGATGGCCAAGAATAGTAATGTTAGGAGGGTCCATTTTTTTTTCAAAGGAAACAAGTTTGTCTTAGATACAGTTTAAGCAGAAAAGAAGTAAGTCCCTGTTTGGCATTCCAAGCACAGTTTCTTTTCATCTAAGAATGCACTTGACTTTATGCAATCAATTCTTTTCAGACAGTAAAATAAAATAAATGTCTGCAGGGCTTCTGTGTGATCCCGTGTATGAGGTGCTGGAAATGGGGAAGCTATGAGGGGTCAGAGAGCAGAGCATCGGCTACAGGACTGAGGAGAGGGACGGGGCAGCAGGAGGGCGTTTGGGGGGATGGGCCTTTTATTCCTCTTGGTTTCTCTGGGTTATGGTGGTGGTTATACAACGCTCTTCATTTACCTAAACGTATATAAAGATGTGTCGCAAAAAGGGGAAATTTTACTGAACGTAAATGGAAAGGAAAATTAAAAACATAAACAGTGAATGCACTGTCCTCTTCAGAATGCCTGCCTAGAGGTTTGTGAAGGAAGAAAAAGGACGCCACAAGGAGTTAAAACGTTCTCGATTCTTGCGGGCTGTGGGAACTCTGTTTCTTGGGTCTTTGCCCCTGGCCCCTCTCCACTCTCCCAACCGCATTCAATAGCGGCAGCTCCGGGTGAAAGACAAGGAAAGTTTTGTGGAGCCCAGAAATAAATAAATAAACTGCTGCATCCCGGTCGCCCTGGCAACCGTGACATCACCCTCGGACCTGAGAGGCTGGCCTCGTGAGGGGCTTAGTGTTTGTTAAAGGGGCAGGGGAGAGGGCGGTCCCGGCTACAGGTGGGGGAGAAAGGTGTCAGCTGCACCCCTTCATGGCTGGCCTCGGAGTCCCGGCCCCCAGCCCCATCAGCGTGGTGTGTAAGCTAGCACCGCCTCTCTGTCGCAAAAAGGGGAAATTTTACTGAACGTAAATGGAAAGGAAAATTAAAAACATAAACAGTGAATGCACTGTCCTCTTCAGAATGCCTGCCTAGAGGTTTGTGAAGGAAGAAAAAGGATGCCACAGGGAGTTAAAATGTTCTCGATTCTTGCGGGCTGTGGGAACTCTGTTTCTTGGGTCTTTGCCCCTGGCCCCTCTCCACTCTCCCAACTGCATTCAATAGCGGCAGCTCCGGGTGAAAGACAAGGAAAGTTTTGTGGAGCCCAGAAATAAATAAATAAACTGCTGCATCCCGGTCGCCCTGGCAACCGTGACATCACCCTCGGACCTGAGAGGCTGGCCTTGTGAGGGGCTTGGTGTTTGTTAAAGGGGCAGGGGAGAGGGCGGTCCCGGCTACAGGTGGGGGAGAAAGGTGTCAGCTGCACCCCTTCATGGCTGGCCTCGGAGTCCCGGCCCCCAGCCCCATCAGCGTGGTGTGTAAGCTAGCACCGCCTCTCTGGGGGGCTCTGGGGGCAGACTCTGTCAAAGGGAACGCTGTGTGTGCCTGTGTTGGTGTCTCTGGTAACAGATGAACACACACTTTGTGACTTAGTTGTTATTTTATTTTTTTGCCACGTCGCACTACACACATGATCTTAGTTCCCCGACCAGGGATTGAACCTGTGCCCCCTGCAGTGGAAGCACGGAATCTTAATCAGAGGACCGCCAGGGAAGTCCCCACACTTAGTGGCTTAAAGCAATGGAAATCGGGCCCCGATTTGGTTCCCTCTGGAGGCTTGCGGACACGCCTGCTCCGGGCCTCCCTCCCAGCTTCTGACGGCTGCTGGCACCCTCAGTGTGAAGCTGCCCCAGGCCTGTCTCTGGTCTTCACTATGTGTCTCTCCTCTGCTTACAAGGACACCTGTCATGTTGGATGAGGGGCTCAACCCCCTTCAGTGTGACCTCATCTCAGCTGATTACATCTGCAGCTCTTTACAAATAAGTCAGATTCCGAGGTTCTGGGGGGTCAGGACTTCAGCACAGGAATTTTGGGGCGACATAATTCAGCTGTTACAGCGCTATTTTTTTGTTGTTACATTTGCTCTAGTGGTGTAGACCCAGCATACAGGAAGTGCTCCACAAATGCTGAGTGGACCACACCCGGCCGGCACTGGGAGTGCAGAGTCTTAACCGCTGGACCACAGGGAAGTCTCCCACACCTAGCGTGGACACAGCATCCAGTGGTGCTTTATAAATGTTCTGTGCACTGTGTTGCATTGAGCACTTTATTCTCAACCACACACTCATTTCTCATGTTGGTGGGTCTTTCTAGTCACAATCGGGTTCCTGGAGTGGGGGCTGGTTTTTGGTGTTTTAGTGGAGTTTACCTCCCCCCCCCCCCCNCCCCCGCCCCCGTGGATGATTCTTGGCAGAGTCCAAGGTGAACCGTCCACTTGCCTGACTCTGAGCCGGTGTGGTCCTGCCCACCTCCGAGACAAGGTGTTGGCAGCTCTCATCCCCCAGCCCTCACCCCACTTCCAGCCTGACCTGGAGATGCCTGCAGGGAGTCCTGTCAGGGGCAGGCCTGTCCCATCCCACCTGGGTGATGTCGCTTCCTGACTCTGCCCTGGAGCATCCCCTCTGGAAAGCAGGGGTCGTGATGGCTCTGTGGGCCGGTGGAGCTTCTGTGAGGAGGAGACAAGAGACTGGGGTGGACAGAGGCAGGGCTGGGGCTTGGAAGATTCTCTAAAGACACCAGAACATCAGGAATGTTTATCGTTGGAATTTCCAGGAGACCTGGGTTGGATCCCTGGCTTGGGAAGATCCTCTGGAGAAGGGAAATGCTACCCACTCCAGTATTCTGTCCTGGACAGTTCCATGGGCTTTATAGTCCATGGGGTGGCAAAGAGTCAGACACGACTGAGCACCTTTCACTTTTCCTGGTGGTTCAATTATTAGGACTCTGCACAGTTAGTGCAGGGGCCACCACGGGTTCGATCCCTGGTTGGGGAAGTAAGATCCCTCATGTGGCCAAAAAAATTTTTTTTAAATAGGAATGTTTACTGTCAAGATGAAGTCACCTGGCTGTTCCACCTGTGGATCAATGCCCAGCAGAAATGATTGCATATGTTCACTACCATGAATGCCCACAGCAGGGTTACCATAACAGCCTCAAGCTGGAACGTCCACCTCCAGTAGATAGGATAAATGAATTGTGGTTTGCTCACCTGGCAAAATACTGTATTGCAATGAAAGCAACCAATTACCCCATCTGACAAAAGTCACGCTGAGCGCAAGGAGCCAGACCCAGAGAGTGTGTGCTGTGTGATCCTACAGATGGGAAAAATCAAGAACCAGCAAAAGTAACCTACAGTGACAGTGTGTGTGTGGGGGGCTGGGGGTCGGGTTCCTTGAGGGGTGACGCTCCGGGGAAGGGCTGGGGGTCGGGTTCCTTGAGGGGTGACGCTCCGGGGAAGGGCTGGGAAGGCAGTTTCTAGGGTGTGGGAAAGGCGCTCTGGGCGTGTGTCTGTGTAAAATCCTTGGAACTGCACCCTGGGAGCTGTATACTGTGTGTATGTGACACGTAAAGAAAATTAAATTAGGAAATGAAAGAGCATGCTGCACCCCGAGATTGATTTATTAATATTTTGTCCACACTTCATGACTTGCGGGATCTTAGTTCCCTGACCACGGATTGAACCTGGGCCCTCGGCAGTGAGAGCACAGAGTCCTAATCACTGGACTTCCAGGGAATTCCTTGAAACCTGATATTTAGCAAATTCAACTTTGGGGATTTGGCTCAAAATGCTGGATAGTCAAAAAAAGGTGTAATAGAGAGAGGGAATGAGGGGAGGAGAAGGGAGGAGAGGGGAGGGCAGCGGAGGCGGGCCCTCCCCACCAGCAGGGCCGAGGGCCCCTGGGGCTCTGTGACCGGGGCTGCTGCCGGCTGCCTTGGCCCAGCTTCCGGGGATTCTATGTCTTCCCCCCAGGTTCATGAACCACCGGGTTCCCGCCCACAAGAGGTACCAGCCCACGGAGTACGAGCATGCTGCCAACTGTGCCACCCACGCTGTGAGTCCTGGGGGGCCGAGAGCCACAGGAGGGGCCGGGAGGCGGCCCGTTGCCCTTGGGGTCCGTGTTCTCATCCCAGAGCGCTGACCCGAGGGGGCCTGTCCCTCAGGCCTTCTTCCGTGGCCCCGGAAGGGGGAGTGGGATCCCGAGGGAAGGCCATGTGGGTAAATGGGACTGTGGCTCTGAGCATGCCTCTCTTTGGCCTTAAGAACCCTCAGTGGCCCCCTAGTATCCAGTATAGTGTCCGGGCTCGGTAGAAGCTCCCAGCTACAGGTCTTAGCCTGAATGTCGGCCCACCTCCCCCTGCCGTGATCTTGCCCCCAGGCGCCAGCATCCTGAGCCCCACCTGCTGTTTCCAAACTAGAAGGCATGACCCAATGTCTTTGCACATGCTGTTTCCAGGGCCTGGATTACTTGCCATCTCCCCCACGAAATCCTGCTCTGGGCAGCGGTCCTTAAACCTCTGGGCCCCTTTGAGGATCTTAGGAAGATCCGGACCTATGCTGTCCAGCTTCGTGGCCACTGGCCTCGCGCAGCTGAAATACGGCACGTCTGAGGTGCGCTGCCAGTGTAGACTACACAGCAGCTTTTGAAGACTCAGCGTGAAAAAAAGAATGCAAGATATCTTAATTCTTTTTATATTAACGATGTGTTGAAATGATACTTTGGATATATCAGACTAAGCAAAATGTATCAATAAAGTCAGTTTCACCTTTTTAAAAATTTTTAAATAAAATTTTTTCATATTTAAAATGTGGCTACTAGAAGATCTAAAACTACGTGTGCTGGGACTCCCCTGGTGGTCCGGTGGCTAAGACTCTGTGCTCCCAGTGCAGGGGGCCCCAGGTTCGATCCCTGGTCAGGGAACCTGATCCCACATGCCGCAACTAAGAGTCTGCACGCTGCAGCTAAAGATCCTGCACACTGCAGGGAGGATCGAAGATACCAAGTGCCACAACTAAGACTCGGCGTGGCCAAATAAATAAATTAAAAATAATTAAAAAGAAAGTTTCCTGTGCCACCTGCATTATATTAAGTAGTTCTATCGGCTGGAGCTACTGTAGAGTCTCTTTCCAAAATAAGTGCTCCTAACACACAGAATTAGACAAACTCTTTTGGAGACCCTATACCCCACCCCCCTCTCCCCGCCAGGGCTTTGGAGAACTCTGAGACTTCTCAGAGGAACCAATGGATAAACCAACATGTGAAGAGTGAGTTTTCCAGGTAGATACTGTGGGGAGGGACGTCTTCGGAGAGAACTCTGTGGGCAACAACGCGGCCGTGTGAAGCATCATGACCAGTCTTGGGTGCCGAGACCGGGTTAGCAGTGGACATGGAGGATGGGGGCAGCAGCCAGAGATGCGTCCTGGAGATAGGAGATCCTGGCTTCCTGTTTCACCGCTACATCATCTAGAGCGATGCTGTCCAGTATGGTAGCCACTGTCCAGTATGGTATCCACTGTCCTGGTTTAGCTGTTGGGTTCGAAGCTGAAACCAGTTAAGGTGAAATAAAATGAAGACAGCAAGTCCTTAGTGGTACAGCCACATTTCATGTGCTCGGCAGCTGTGTGGGCTTGGAGGCTGCCATATTGGACAGGGCAGGTCTAGAACCTTCCCTCCACCATGGGAATGCTGTGGGGCAGTGCAGGTCTGGAATATTTCTACCATGGTAGGGGGTTTTGTTGGGCAGTGCAGGTCTAGAACCTTCCCTCCATCATAGGGAGTCCTGTTGGGCAGTGCAGGTCTGGAGAAAACACGTGGGGGTCGCCCGGGGGCTCAGCACTTGCCTGGCCCCGGCTCCAGAGCCCGACCTTGCAGCACCGCCCCCTCCCTGCCTCCAGCTCTGGATCATCCCCAGCATCCTCGGCAGTTCCAACCTCTACTTCCTGTCGGACGATGACTGGGAGACGATCTCCGCCTGGATCTACGGCCTCGGGCTCTGTGGGCTGTTCGTGGTGTCCACCGTGTTCCACACCATCTCCTGGAAGAAGAGCCACCTCAGGTAGCTGCTGCCCAGCCCACAGGTGGGGGCGTGTGCCTGGCAGGGTCACCAGGGCTGGTGCCCACGGCGGGCCGAGGGGGAGGCGAGATCCTCGGGCTGTGCGTGGCTCAGCGGAGCGGGGCCCAGGATGGAAGGCCTTGTGCCACGTTAGCTTCAGGCCGGCGGGGTTGAGTCCCCCGGGGGACCCCCTCACCCTCAGAAGCCTCGTTTGCCCCCCTCTGAGCGGCCGGAAGAGCAAGCTCCTCACTCCCAGGTCGTTACGAGGGACCCTTAGCTGTCACAGTAACTGCCCGTTCCTGGGCAGCCCTAGGTTCCGGGCACTCTGCATCTGTTGCTTTGGATCTCTCCAGAAATTCTGCAGTGTAGGCTTTAGCATCCTGGGTTTTAATTTTGATTTGTTTTGTGGTAAATATGCATGGTGTAAAATTTACCATCTTGACCGTTTCCAAGTGTACCATCCAGTGGCATTAAGCACATTAACACTGTTGTACAACCATCACCACCATCCACCCACTGAATATTTTCATCTTCCCAAACTGCGGCCCTGTCTCCGTTAAACGCTAACTCTGCATCTCCTCCCAGCCCCTGGCACCGCCCTTCTACTTTCTGTCTCTGTGAGTTGTCTCTGTACATGCCATGTAAGTGGGATCATATACTACTTAGCCTTTTGTGAGCACAACGTCCTCAGAATTCATCCTCGTCATAGCAGGTGTCAGAGTCGCCTTCCTTCTCAAGGCTGAATCATGTCTCACTGTGCAGTTGTTTGTCCCTTCCGCTGTTACGGACGCCTGGGGTGCCTCTGCCCTTTGTCACCAGCTTCTTTGACTGACTGAGACTCATCCTGGTGCTCATCCACGTTGCAGCTTACAGAATCCCGGTTCTTGTGGCTGATGACTCTGAATTTGGAAGGTGACAGGACAGGCTTAAGGTCACCTCGCTGGTCGTGTCCAAGCCAGAACTGATTCCAGGACTCCAGGGCCCCCACAGAGTGAGGGGACGCTCCGGTCCATTGTAGCAGCCGCAAAGATCACTGGTCCCCATGTCCAGCGCCCCTCCTGCCCCCCAGAAGCCCTGTGACTCTGCTGTGTCCCACCCGTCCTGCCCCCATTCTTTCCGTGGGTCCTGGTGGACCCCACTGTACGCGGCTGTAATGAATTCCCACCCACGGAGCGTCCAGAAGCAACAGGAGCTTAGCCGCTCCCGGTCTAGGAGGCCAGAGTCTGAGACTAGCGAGTCAGTGGGGCCACGTCTCCGGGGGGTCCCTGTATTTCCTTCTCCGGCTTCTGGTGGCTCCTGTGGTTCCTCGGCTTGTGGCCGCGTCACTCCAGTCTCCACCTCTGCCTCCATAGGCCTGCCTTCTGTGCATCTGTGTGTCCCGGTCCCCCCTCTCCTTTTCCTTCTAAAGACGCCAGCCCCTGGGTGTGGGGCCCACGCATCAGTGGTGTGACTGTGCCGCCCCCTGGTGTCCTCATCTGTGATGTGGTGGATGAAAAAACGGCCCCTGCCTGCCCAGGTGGGATTAAAGAGGTCATGCTGAAGAGCTTTGCACAGTGCTCTGATTACAGAACGTGCTCTGTACACGTCAGCTGTTGTTACTCCCTGTGTTTCTAGGGAGACAATCAGTTGGCCCAGCATCAGATACAAAACACTGGCCGTTTAGAGGGCTGCAGTGACCAGACTGAATCACAGTTTGTATTCGTTATCTACTGCTGAGTAACAAATTATCCTGAATCATGGAGACTTCAAATAATGATCAACTCCAGTTCTCTCTCTCTAAGTTTCAGAGAGGCAGGAACTGGGGAACTTCGCTGTGTGGTTCTGGTCCAAGGTTGCTGAAGTGGCCAAGATGCTGCCGGGGCTTCCAGGGGCTGGAGAAGCCACTTCTGAGGCTGCTGCCTTGCAGGGCCGGTGCATTGGTGCTGGATCCTTGGGGGTTGCTTGGTCATTCCCACGTGGACCTCTCCACGGCCCTGTGGCTCGTTCCCCTCCGTAGTTAGCGATCCAAGAGAACAAGGCGGAGGTTGTCATGTCTTTATGATCGAGCCTCAGAAGCCACACCCCGGCACTTGTGCCACCTCACATCGGTTCCACATGTTTGCTGTACTCGTTGTGGGAAGGGCTGATGAGGGTGTGAGGACCAGGAGGTGGGGCTCCTTGGGTACCATTTTGGAGGCTGCACCACGCTGGCCAGACGTGTTAAGGAATGTCGCCTGCCCTTGAAGGTGAGGTCATAATGGAAACAGGTGACGTGTGTGAGCACTTCCTGTTTTGTGTGGTGCTGAGTCCTGGCCCTCTTCACCCTCACCCCGTGGCAGGATGCCAGTATTCCTCGCTGTTTCACAGATGAGGGAGCTGAGACCCGGGAGAGCAAGTACTTGCTCAGGGTCATCATTCCTCCGTGGCAGGGCTGGGATCCGAACCCAGGCCTTCTGGCTCCAGAACTCGGACCTGAACCGGAATACCAGAACCCAGAGGGTCTTCATGGGCACCTAGGTTTGCTGGTTTAGTGAAAAGAGACTAAATGTTTAATTTTCCATGTTTTCTTCTGCTTGCCACGCTTCTATTGAGTATTTTTTAGTTCGTTTTTATTTTTTTTAACTGAAGCGTAGTTGGTTTACAATCTTCTGTTAGTTTCAGGTGTATAGCAAAGTGATTCAGTTATACACACACACACATATATACTTTTTCAGATTCTTTTCCCATATAGGTTATTAAAAATGTTGAGTATAGTTGAATTTTTTTCATTGTTTAATTGAAGTATAATTGATGTACAGCATAAGTTACAGGTGTACAATTAGTGATTCACAATTTTTTAAAGATTATATTCCATTTATAGTTACTGTGAAACACTGGCTCTATTCCCCGTGGTGTATGATACGTCCTTATAGCTTATTTTATTGTTTTATTACTCAATATTTATTTATTTAGCTGCATCTCAAGGCATGCAGGATCTTAGTTCCCTAACCAGGGATTGAACCCCGGCCACCGCAGTGAAAGCACCCAGTCCTACTCACTGGACTGCCGGGGAACTCCCCTCCTGGCTTGTTTTATGTGTAACAGTTTGTATCTTTTCATCGCCTTCCGCCCCTCCCCTCTCCCCTTCCCACTGGTGACCTCCTCTGTTCTCTGTGTCTGTGAGTCTGTCTTTTGCAGACTGTGTTTCTTTCTGTTGTGAGTCTGTTTTTTTAAGCTACTGAATTTTTTATCATTTGAAATCTTTCGAAAAGCCCAGAATGTAAAACAGGATGCAGAGTTGCTCTGATTAAAGTAGAAGAGGAGGATGTCAGGGGAGGCGGGTCCTTGACGGGACCCCCGAGGTGTCTCCATTCAGCCCCTGGGGTGATAGGGAGCCTGGCTGGAAAAGCACTGCCTTGGTTGCTCACAGATGGGGACGCTGAGGCCCGAGGGGTCGTGGCTGGATGGAGGCTCACCAGCCCTGTGCCCAGGCCCCCCCCCCACAGAGCCCGTTTGTCCAGGTTGGGCCCCCGTAACCCGCCTTCTCTGCCGCAGGACGGTAGAGCATTGTCTGCACATGTCGGACCGCATGGTCATCTATTTCTTCATTGCGGCCTCCTACGCGCCCTGGTGAGTGTCTCTGCGGGTCCCCGGGCGAGGTGGGGGCTGGGGCTGGCTTCCTCTCCTTCCCTTCTTCCAATTTCCCTGCACGTTTGGCTGGGTGACCTGTGACCTCAGCACAAGAATGTAGGTAAAAGGGCGTCCTCCAAGCCTTCTCCTTCCTAGAAGCCATGACTTAGCGCCAGTTTCCTGTGTATCCTTCCAGGGTGATTTTGTGTAGAAAAGAGCAAATGTGTATATGTATAGACATGCATTTGCATACATGCATATGCATATATGCAAATACACACACACACATATATATATTCACACTTACACTTTCCTACTTTATTTTTTTAAAGTCTTTATTGATCTTGTTACAATATTGCTTGTGTTTTACCTTTTGATTTTTTGGCCACGAGGCATGTGGATTCCCAGCTCCCTGACCAGGGATCCAACCGAGACCCCCTGCCTTGGAGGGTGATGTCTTAACCAGTGGACCACCAGGGAAGTCCCTATTTTTTCCTGCGTTCATGCTCAGTGGTGTCTGACTCTTTGTGACCCATTGGACTGCAGCCCTCCAGGCTCCTCTGTCCATGGGGATTCTCCAGGCAAGATACTGGGGTGGGTAGCCATGCCCTCCTCCAGGGGATCTTCCCCACCCAGGGATCGAGCCCAGGTCTCCCACGTTGCAGGCAGATTCCTACTTGAGTAGAAAAGGAAGGATACTGTACAAACGCTGAAGCCAGCTTTCACTCTCTTAGTCATGTTCTGGGGGACCTCTTTTCATATTAGTACCATGAAGATTTCCCCATTCCTTTGTTGTAGCAGCATAATATCCCCTGGCCACCCCTGCTTATGAGTGTTTATGACGTCAGGACGCCCCTTCCTTCGCTGTAACACACAGGGCTGCCGTGAATGTCCTTGCTGATGGGTCATACAGCACATGTGCCTGGTTCGGTTGCCTGGAAACAGGTGAAACTGCTGAGCCAGCCTGTTTAGAGCTACAGAAGCCCCAGGTTCTTAAGCCGAGCCTGATCTTTGTGGGGTGAATGCCGAGCTTGGAGGCCCAATGGCAAGAGTGGGCCTTAGGCCCTTGGCTAACTGTTGCCAAGGCGCCTTGCACAGATTGTACTGGTTTAAACTCCCCCGGCAGGACCTCCCTGGGGGGTCTGGTGGTTGAGAAACCGCCTGCCAGGGCAGGGAGGACGTGAGTTCAATCCCTGGGCCGGGAAGCTCTCATATTTTGCAGTGTGGCTGCGCTCAGGCACCACAGCTACTGACCCTGCTCTCTAGGGCCCTGGAGCCACAGCTGCGGAAGCCGGCCCACCCTGGGGCCTGTGCGAGCTGGCCTCCAAGGCGTGGAGGCCACAGAAAGGCTCGTCCCGGTTTTGCCCAGGGAATTCCAATGTTTGGCTATCGTAAATGGAGTGTTCTTTTTCATCATGTCAACTAATAAGTGGGTTTAGTTGGTGCACATGAAGGCGACTTGCCTTCGGAACACGTTTTGTTGAGATGTGCCTGGGGGTGGTCCACACAGGGAATTCCCACATCCCGCGGCCGGCCCCCCGGATGGAGAAGCCATGTGTCTAGCCCCTCCCCAGCCCGCGGCTCCCGGGGTTGGTGTCCATGTCCCGTGGTCGGCCGTCTTGGAGCAGCTTTGCCCGATGTCATCTTTCACATGAACGGAATCATTCTTTCGGGTCTCGCTTTCAGGCGGCCTTGTGTGGTGAGGGTCACGGAGTCATGGTCCAGACTCCTTGCTGGGCAGTGTTCTGGATGAATGAACCAGAGGCGTCCGTCTCCTGTGACAGGCAGTTTGCGGGGTTTCCAAGCTTGGGGTGATTATGGCTGCACGGTGGGTCCTCTGTTTGTTCTCGTGTGGGTGTGGCAGTGAACTGAGGAGTGGGTGGGGCTTGAAGCAGGATATTCACTTGGTTTTATTTTATTTTATTTGTTCTGTGGACCATTTTTAAAGTCTTTATTGAATTTGTTACAGCATTGCTTCTGTTTCACGTTTCGGTTTTTTGGCTGTGAGTCATTTGGTTTCTCAGCTCCCAATCAGGGATTAAATCTGCTCCCCCCTCCCTGCATCGGAAGGCGAAGTCTTAACCACTGGACCATTAGGGAAGTCCTTGATTTTATCTTTTAGACCAAAGGATGATGCCTTGGGAGCAAGGAGGTGCAAGGAGGCTGATGCAAGGAGCTGGGAGAGAGATGGTTGTGGCCGGGGCCCTGGCAGTGGCCTTGGAGTTGAGAGGATGGATGGATGGATGGAAAATGTATTTACAGGAAACTGAGGGGGAACTGTGAGTGACTGAAGGTGGGGAGGAATACCTGGGTTTCTGGCTTCCCCCAGGAAATCGGCCCTTGCTGCTGTCAGCCTGGAGACGTGATCAGAGGCAGCCCGTGCCCAGCTGAGCTTTGTGGGAGGAGGGCACGTATAAACCAGGATGCTCTGGTTGTCAGATGCCCGGTGGGCTGGTGTACGCGGGCCCCGGAGAGAACGGTCAGTCCCGGGGGAGGGGCTGCTGTTCTAGCGGGTAGGTGGGGGCTCCTGGAGATGCAGAGAGCAGCAGAGGGAAGCCAGGAACGATGGGAGGGTGCCTCCTGATGGCCCCGGGCCACCCCAGGCACCACCTGCAGTTCTCAGGAGTCGGGCGATCTCTGGTTTCTTTTTTGGATGTTGCCAGTTAGAGTAAAGCTAGGTTTTGTGCTCAGCCGCAGTAACTATCCTTGAGTGAGATTTCTGAAACCACCCTCTGACTGTCCCCCCGCCTTGGCTGATTCAGCACCTGGGTTTCTGTTCTTTATCCCTGATGCTGACGGTCTGGGCACTGACTCTGTGCCCATCGAGTGCTGGTGTCTGAGGACGTGGCTGCGAACAGAGACACAGGCCCTCTGTCCTTGTGGGACTTAGCGTCTCCCGGAGGATGTGGACTTTGTCCCGACACCGACGCGGAGACAGAACCGTTACTGTGGTCCAAGCTGCGGGGGAGGGACGCAGGGGCCGAGAAGGGGAGATGTCTCCTGGTTTGCGAGCTGCGTCGGGGGGAAGGGTCGGCAGAACCTGGTGGTTGACCAGATGTGGGGTTGAGAGAGGATCAGGGGCGATGACAGTGTCCTACCTGGACACCCGGCTGCATGGGGGAACGGAGAAGGGAGACAAGGGTTTGTGGAGTGATTTGTGGCTATTTTTCTTCGCGGTGCTCTGGTTGAGGGGGTGGAGGCGTGAATGACTCTGGGTCCCCCCATCCCTGCCTCAATCTGAAAAAAACTCCGTGTTTTGGTTTTTATGTTTGTTCTTTAAAATTTTATTTATTTATTTTTGGCTGCGCTGGGTCTTGGTTGCTGAGTAGGCTTTCCTCCAGTTGCGGCGAGCAGGGGCTGCGTCTCCTTGCAGTGGCTGCTTCTGTTGCGGAGCGCAGGCTCTAGGCTGCTCAGACTTCAGTGGGGGCGGCTCCCGGCTCTAGAGCGCAGGCTCAGGAGCTGTGGCGCAGGGGCTTAGTTGCTCCGAGACAGGTGCGATCTTCCCAGACCAGGGATCGAACCCGCGTCTTCTGCATTGGCAGGCAGCATCTTTACTGCCGAGCCACCAGGGAAGCCCCTTTATTTTCATTTTTGATAGATTAGACTTACATACAAGATTCTAGCATATCAACTCTACTTAAAGAAGGGGTCTAAAAGGTGGTCGAAAGGCTCCGGCATTGCTGAAAGAGAACAGTTGTGGCATCAGACCGCACGAGGCCCTGGTCCTGATCAGCCTTTCCGGAGCCACATGTCCTAGGATAACTGCCGAGTCTGTCCAAGCCTCAGTCTCCTGTCCTTTACAATGGAGGCAGCGATACTACCCCGTCCCCCAGCTGTTGTGAAGAGGGACAATGGTGACCTGCACACAGATGCCATTCACGCGATTAACCAGGCAGGGAGGACCGTGTCACGAATGATCAAGAAAACTGGCTGGGTCAAGGGTGACACAGAAGCTTCCTTTCTGCAGTGCTTCAGAAAACTACTAATAATCGAGTCATAAATACTGAGGAGGACAGAAGACAAGTCACCGCCTTCTGGAACCAGAGCCCCTTCTGCAGGAATCTAGCGTGCTTCTGTGCAGTCAGGTTGTACAGACAGCGGCACAGGCCGGAGGCAGGAATGCATGCACGCGGGGCTGGAGAGAGGGTTTAGGACAAGCCCCCTGGCCTGGGGCACAGGCCTGCATTGTCCATGAGAAATCCATGAGGCCCAGCTCAGCTGTCACCCAGCGGGCAGGACTTGCCTGGGGGTCCAGTGGGTGGGAGTCCGCCTGCCAATGCAGGGGACACGGGATCCATCCCTGCCCTGGGAAAATACCGCGAGCCGCGGGGCAGCTAATTCCGGGCGCCAGGAAACGCCCTCTGGTTTGAGATGCCCTTTTCCTTTATGCTGGGACATCCTCAGTGTTGCTGACTTGGCTCGAATAATTGCATACAGTTTCGTTTTCTCTGTCTCCCCACGTGTCCTCCGTGAGGGGCCACATCCCACACGTGCAGCCACAGGGGACAGGGGTTCTGTGGGGTCCGTGTCCCTGGGAGGGGCTGGCTGTGGAAGGCGCGGTCCCAGGCCCGCCCCCCACCCGCTCAGGCCCCTGTGCCCTCCCGTCCCGCCTCCCAGGCTGAACCTCCGTGAGCTGGGCCCCTGGGCCTCCCACATGCGATGGCTGGTGTGGATCATGGCCTCAGTCGGCACCATCTATGTCTTCTTCTTCCATGAGCGGTAAGCTGGGGCTGGGGGAGAGGGGGCGGGCTCTCAGGGGGGCTGGGTGCGTCCATCGGGGCCTCCTCCCTGCCCCTGGCGGGACGAGACCTCAGGATGTGCCCAGAAGCTTGTGGGCACACAGCCACGCCTGGCACCCCTGTGTCCAGGCCCATCGGCGGTCCCCAGGTCCACAGTCCATAGGGTCAGTGTGAGGAGGTTAAAATTAAAAAGTCACTGTTGGTGCTTCCACCCGCTGAATGGGGTCTTCCTGAAGCTGCGTTAGCAGGTGAGAAGGAAAGGGCCCCAGGGCCGCCCACCCCCTTCCATCCTGCTGAGAGACAGGATGGAAATGAGGACGTGGGGGAAGGAAGCAGCTGGAGAAGTGAAAGGCAGCCGCAGACCCCTGGACTGTCTGAGGACGGCAGACGGGTGTTGGTTGGTGCCGCTGCTCGGATGGATGGAGAGCGATTGCTTGAGCCTTGTGGTGAAAGGTGCTGGGATCGAATAGTAATGCCTGCCCTGGGTTGAGCAAGGGCGGCGCCCCCAGGCATGCTATGCCCACCCAGCATTTGCCACTCTGGAATGTCAGTTCACAGGTGTGGAAACCAAGCCTCAGAGAGGGACAGGGACCCGCCCACGGCCACCCGGCTCTGCCAGCACTTGCTGGGTGCAGCTGGATGAAATCCGAGCTCAAGGGTGCTGGCCAGAGGGCAGAGTCCCCTTCCATTACTCTTGCGGCAGGGGGTGTCCCCTCCCAACCCCAATGGGGGAGGTGCTGCTCACCGGGAGGCCTTGTCTTCCTGGCAGGTACAAGCTCGTGGAGCTGCTCTGCTATGTCGTCATGGGCTTCTTCCCCGCCCTGGTCGTCCTTTCCATGGTAAGTCACCCCCACCCGCTGCGGGCCTTGCATCTGGCTGGAGGGGGCCCAAAGTGGTACTGGAGATGGTGAGGTTGAGCCTGCTGCCCCGGCAGATAGCAGTCTGAGGCCGGGGGTCCGCGTGACTCGCCCGCCAAGGCAGGGGACGTGCAGGTCGCCCTGGGCTCGGCTCCTCGGTTCTGCGGCTCCTCAGTTTTGGGGCTCCTCCTCTCTCTGCTTCACCTCAGTGGGTTCATTAGTCCCTCTGTGCTCCAGTTTTCCTGCTTATTTAGGGATCAGCTAAGAAAACTCAGGGAAAGGGACTGGAAGGGTGCCTGCGACAGAGTAAGTTCCTGCTGGCTAAATTAAATCTAAATGATAATAACATAGGTGGCCAGGGAGGCAGAGCTGAGTCTCCAGCTTGTGACAGCCCCCTTAGCGTTCCTACTCAACATTTTCCCTGTGAAAACGTGAGTTGTTTGTTGTTCAGTCGCTAAGTCGTGTCTGACTCTTTTGCGACCCCATGGATTGCAGCATGCCAGACTGCCCAGTTCTTCACTGTCTCCCAGAGTTTGCTCAAATTCATGTCCATTGAGTTGGTAATGTATGTCCATTGAGTCCATAACGTGAGTTATCTAATGCCTCTTCATGAAAAACAGAAGATATACAACAAACCATTACGGATGGTTAACAGGCACGTCTATGTGGATATGTAGACATGATGACTTGTTTGCTTTTCTTTTACAAAAAAATGGGATCACGCTGTACAAACTGCTCTACCACATGCTTGTCTCACTTGGCGTGATGTTGAGGGCCCGTCACACAGAGCTGTACCTGCCTCGGGAGATTGTTGTGAAGATGGCATCGGGTAACTCACGTCAGGCCCTGAGGATGGGGCATGGCAAGCAGTCCGTGCTGAGAAGTGTTACTGTGAAATGTCTTTAATAGTCAGGCATCACCCCATGGAGGGCTGGGTGCGTGCTTGTACATACCTTCAATGAAAAGCTCCCCAGCTGTTCCGTAGACCAAGGTGGGTCCCCACATGGCGAGGTAGATGAATCCCCACGAGACTGCATCGTGGAAGTGATGTATCAGATTGACAGGCGTGGCCCGAGCCCCCTTATCTTAAGTGATCCGTCCCTCTGGGCACATACATGCTTATGAAGTGCGTACCATGTATTGTGTGCACATAGACGAGTCTGGAAGGATACCATCAGACACCTATTGGTGGTGAGCAGTGAGACCTGTGGGAAGGGGGCCCAGGAGACAGGGCCCTGTCCCTCCTGTTCTCCTTGAGGCCTCGTAACAACCACCCAGGTGTCACTCGTGCTCATCTCGGAGGGCGCGAATGCTGCTCTTTTCTTACTGCTCTTTGTTTTTCTCTAAAATGTTTCGCCATGGATCAGTTCAGTTCAGTTGCTCAGCCGTGTCTGAATCTTTGTGACCCCATGGACCACAGCACGCCAGGCTTCCCAGTCCATCACCAACTCCCAGAGCTTGCTCAAACTCATGTCCATTGAGTCGGTGATGCCATCCAACCATCTCATCCTCTGTCATCCCCTTCTCCTCCTGCCCTCAATCTTTCCCAGCATCAGGGTCTTTTCAAATGAGTCAGCTCGTCGCGTCAGGTGGGCAAAGTATTGGAGTTTCAGCATCAGTCCTTCCAGTGAATATTCAGCACTGATTTCCTTTAGGATGGACTAGTTGGATCTCCTTGCAGTCCAAGAGACTCTCAAGAATCTCCTCCAATACCACAGTTCTTTGGCACTCAGCTTTCTTTATAGTCCACTCTCACATCCGTACCATGGATACATATGACTTTTTAAGAACTGTGATAACATACACATACAGTTTATGGTTTTAGCCATCTTTAAGGGTACAGTTCAAGGGCGTGAAGTTCATTCATCTCGTTGTGCAGCCATCACCACGGTCCTTCCACAGGACTGTCTCATCTTCCCTCACCCTGTCCCCACTAAACCTCAGTCCTTACCTGTTCCCCCCAACCCAGCCCCTGGTAGCCAGACAGCCATTGTGCTTTCCAACCATGCATTTGACTTGTTCAGACTGTCAAAGCCTACGGTCGCTGTCCTTCTGCGTCTGGTTTATTTCGCTTTGCACAATGTCCTTGAGGTTTCCCCCGTGTTGTATCATGTGTCAGCGTCTCCTCCTTTTTAAAGACTGAGTAATGCTCCATCGTGTTAACTAACACGGATACCATTCTGCGTATCCATTCTTCTCCTGGTGGATGCTTGGGTTGCTCCCTGCTTTTGGCAGCTGTAATGATGTGGCAATGAACTTGGTTGTACAAGTATCTGTGTGTATCTCTGCTTTCCCTTCTTTGACGTATTGCTTTTTAGGAAAGACGAAAAGCTATGACATACCCTTTGAAATTTTGACAGAAATGTGTTACGAGAATGAATTGGTGTGGCAGGGATGGGGTGGAAGAATTAATGACATCGGTGTGTTGAGTTGCCCCTCCTGGTACTCTGGGCGGCCCCGCCGTCCACGTGTCTTCTTGTCTGGGGTGGTGGGGGGATGGCTGTGTGGTTTTGGTCTTGCCAGCCACTCATCTGACCTGTGCTCACCCTTGTCCTTGCCGACAGCCCAACACCGAGGGCATCTGGGAGCTGGTGACCGGAGGGGTCTTCTACTGCTTGGGCATGGTGTTCTTCAAGAGTGACGGGAGGATCCCCTTTGCCCATGCCATCTGGCATCTCTTTGTGGCATTTGGTGCTGGCACACACTACTATGCCATCTGGAGGTACTTGTATCTGCCCAGCACCCTGCAGGCCAAGGTGTCCAAGTGAGGCGGCGCAGCATGCGTGGGGACATGTAGGCCTTCGGAGCAGAGCATCACGGGGAGTGTTCCTGCAAACCGAGCCCAGAGCACAGCGTCCAGGCCCGTCCGCCCTCCCACGGGTAGAGCTTTCAGTGGGTCCGAGATCACTTCTGCTGATAAGCCAGACCATCCCTTGGGTTCTAGGTGAGAGAGAAGGCATTTAGTCATTTTCACAGAGGAGAAATTAACCCTGTAGTGCGTTTCTATTCTAGAGAGATGTTTCCTAAAACAACCAACATTCACATCGTCAGAAAAGGGGGCAGACGGAGTCTTGGCCAGTTGAGGAATGACGGGCCCCATACATGCTTCTCAAGGCCCTGAGAAATCTATCGGGGAGTCTGGTGTTATTGATACCCCGGGTGGCCTGGGCCTCCTTCTGTGCTACCAAAGTCCTGGCTGGGGAATTATCCCCTGCTTGCGGGTGGGGGGGAAAGTCACCCAGCTTGTAGATCAGGGATGGTGAGAATCCGTGACCGTGGCAGGCATCCCCAATCAGCTGCCGCGTGGTGCGGTTTCAGAATTCTTTCCACGACTTCTCTGGGCAGCCACTGCCAATCGACTCGGCACTCGTGAGGGCACCTCTTGGCCTCGCCCGCCCCCGTGCGCTCCGCAGTGGGGTCGTGGCCAGACCACTTGGGCGTCTCCATGCTGGGGAGCGGGCTTGGTCCCCTGGCGAGGGCAGCTGGGGGCCGTGGGGGGGAGATGAGGGGCACCCAGAGCAGCCCGCCACCCTGCTGTTCTGCAGCGGGCTCTCCGCACAGCGGGCAGGCAGCGGGGGATGCGCCTCCTGTGCCTTGGCCGTTTCTTCTCGCCGACAAGCCCAGAGACATGACGAGAGCCGTTCACTGGGGTGGGGGGCAGCAGAGTCCAGGAGCTCAGTGTGTGGCTCCAGGTTCAGGGTTTGTGGCTCAGATTCTCAGCCGCCCCTGGAGGGAAGGCCTCGGGTCGTCTGATGAGGATCTGGGCAGAGCGTCCGGGACACCCCCAACCTGCGAAGCCCATGGCAGTCCAAAGACCAGCAGGCTTCCAGGGGTGTGTCCTCCGCCCTCTTGCGGGGCCGGGCCGGTGCTCGGGACTGGCACATGGGCATCTGCTGGGGAGGGAGCCAGGCCGCCTGCAGGGTCTGATCTGGCGTCTCAGACTGCGTCAGGATCTCTGTCTCGTTAGACAGACGTCACTCTCAGACTCCCAGCCAGGGTCAAGTGGGCAGAGACAGGGTGCCTTATGCCGAGTTCTCGCACATTCCAGGGTGTTGTTTCAGGGCTCTGGCGTCTGGAAACCCACATCCGAGACGATACTGAGTCCTCTGACACATCTTCAGGCGGGCGGGTTTCTGAGCTTGGGAATTTTTGTCCTCTTGCCTGGGGGTGTGTGTGTGTATGCAAACGTGCCCTGTGAGCCCACCAAGGATTTCCTATCAGTTGGGGGTCAGGGCTGGAGGTGGGGGGAGGGGAAACTTTGAGGGGGAGGGCAGGCTCACCCTGGTGGAGGGCAGGGACCCTGTGACCCGACCTCTGCTGGGGTCGGAGGTGGGGGAGGGACCACGTGGGTCCTGGGATGCTGTTTAGGGAAACTCCCGAAGCATGGCACTGTGGCAGGTGGAGACGATAGTCCCGTCACTGAGGGGCCGATGGGGGCCGAAGCCCAGCGGCAGGGCCAGTGCTGAGTGCTCAAGACGCGGACCCGGGACTTCTGTACTGTCCCCGAGCCCCCGCTGAGCGCCTCTGATGCCTGCGTTTCCTCATGCTCCTTCTCCTGGGTGTTGGGTGTGACATTTCTCCCTAGACGGCCCGCTCCTTTATCCCCACACCTTTTGAGGTGCCTGTTCCTCTGATGGGGACTCTGTTCACCCCTCATCCACCCAACTCCTATACATCCTTCAAAGCCCCACTCGGGCATTAGCACGGAAGCACTTCCGATCTTCCTCTGATTTAGGGGCTCCCCCACTCTGCTTCCCAACACCCCCTGTGCTCACCTGCCCACCCGTGTTCCTTCACCCCTGGTACTTGTGCCTGCTGCCCCACACACGCTCCTGGAGGGAGGGACTGTGTCTTGCTAGACTCGGGACCAAGTCTAGCATCCTCCCACTCCTTTGTGAAGGCTTGGGCCGGCTCCTTAGCCTCTCTGAGCCTCGGTGTCCCCTGCTGTGAGATGAGTGTGGTAAGGCAACACCTCGCCGGGTTGCTGGAAGAGTCAGCAGGAGGCTGAATGTGAAACACTTCGGCCTGCTCTCCTCATTAGCTCCCTGAGTTGGAAAGCAATCCCAGATGATGCTAATGAGAGGCGTGGCAAAGCCTGTGCCGCCCGAAGGAATGAATCACTAATGGTGGAATGTCTGACTACAGACAGGCTGGGAGGACCATGGAGGGTGTTCTGTGCAGCCTTGAGCACACTGCCCCCACCCCCCAACTCCAATTCAGGACCTGCTGCCCATGAACTGTCTCTCTTTCCCAGCATGATTCTGAAAATGAATTTCTCATCGCTTCTTGGCCTCTTGGCTAAGATCAAGTGAAAATGAATTTCCCAGGATGCCATTTAACCCAAGACCCTGGCATTCCTTCACATATATCACAAACATTGCAGGCAAGGAAAAAACATTCCTTAGTCTCTCGTTAGGTAAGACTCCGTCCCAGTAGCAACCTAGGCTGTGCCCGGGGGTGAGGGGCGGGGTGGTCAGGACACTGGAAATTGAGATGCCCGCCAGCTCCTTCGTCCTGTCCTCCTTTGAGGCCATCCTGTACCAGGATGACCCAGCAAGGCAGCTATTGTGTCCCAAGGAGCCAGGGGAGGGAGGGGTTGGCCGCAGAGTGGCCTGTTGGACATTCTGGCACTTCAGCCACCGCTCCTGAGTTAGGCAGGCACTTCCAGGGCAGGGCGAGAGGTGGAGCTGGTGCAAAAGTTGGGGAGGAAGGCAGGAGCGGGGGTGGGGGGGCCCCCACGGCATCCCACGCCACTGGACCGGCCTGCTGTTGACCACCTGCTCAGTTAGTCCACTGGTGATCGTCACGACAGACGTGAGCAGGCATGTTTGCTGCAGGAGGCCTGGCTGCCAGCCGGCGGGGCTTCCCTGAAAGGCCCAGAGCAGAGCTCAGCCAGGGCTGGTCCCCCAGCCCAGGGGAGGGGTTTCAGTCACTGTCACAGACCAGAGCTGCCTTTCTGTCTCGGTTGCCAGCTGCAATTGCGTGTACAGCGGGAGCAGGGTTGAGCAGCCGCCGTTCCACCAGCCCCTGGGTCGGGCTGGGGAAGAATCCTAGGAAAGTGGAGGGGGGCCGCAGAGATGGGGCTCGTCAGTGGGCCTGGATCTGAAGCCCTAAGGCCACCGTGGCTGTGGGTGGATGCCCCGCACAGAGGGGTCAGTCCTGGGGCTTCTGGGGGGGCGGGTTTCAACTCTGCCCAGCTCTGTTTTCTGTATTTGCGAAAGCTGAAGCGCTCTGGAGGTTCTCCTGTAACCCTGCTCGAGCCACGGCAGTCGGACCCAGGCCTCTGTCAGGAACGGGGCAGGGTGGTGCTCACAGCCCCCACACGTGCTGAGACGGGCAGGTGGAGCTCAGAGGCTGAGAGATGGGCCTGGTGACCTGGTCAGAAAAGGACCTGTCAAATGCGCCACCGCATACTGTGTGATCAGATGCTGAGATGCAGGCTCTGGGGACGGCTTTGTGGGGTACTGAAGGAGCCCGGGGAAGCCCCAGCAGCCACTTCCCCACGGGCAGAGCGGCTCAGGAGTACACACAGGTTACAGGTGTGGGTACAGGTGAGGGAAAGAGGCAGATACGGTCGTCGTATCATTATGAAAGGGCTTTCCTGGTGGCCTGGTGGTAAAGAACTCACCTGCCAATGCAGGAGATGCAGGTTTGATCCCTGGGTCAGGAAGATCCCCTGGAGGAGGAAATGGCAACCGGCTCCAGTATTCTTGCCTGGAGAATCCCTTGGACAGAGGAGCCTGGTGGGCTACAGTCCACGGGGTCGCAAAGAATTGGACATAACTGAGCGTCTAAACAAAAAAAACAATCATTATGAAAACACTTTAAGTTTGGGAAGCCTCTGGCAGGGTCTTGGCGGGGCCAGGGGCCTAGACTAAACGTTGTGGAGAACCGCGGGTAGATCCAGCGTTGTCCATCTTGTTTCACATCTGGCAACGCGCGGTCAGCGGCGTTACCATAGACCAACGCTATCTGCTTCTAGCTGAACCTGGAGACGCGGGCGCGTCAGCGCGGAGAGGGGAGTGGGCGGGGGTCTGGAGACTCTCTTGGCGTCGAGCGCAGGCCCCAGGATCGTGGGGCACTGACAATGACCGCATGCCCAGCAGAGCACCTGGCGCCTAGCGGGTGCTCGGAGAAACGTGCGGACGGAACGGGGGATGGTGAGCGCGGGGCCGCGGGCTCCACCTCCTCCTCCCTGAGGCTGAAGATGGGGCGAGGAGTTTCGCGTGAGTCTTGGTCCCTCTACGTCTGGGGCCGGATCGGGCAAGCTCCTGACCAGGGTCTCCAGGGACACTGCCCTGCCTTTCCTCTTGTGTCTCTGCTCATCGGAAGACACCTCGGACTGTTTTTTTCCACTCAGGTTTGTGACAAGCTTTGCCTCTGCCCCAGGTGGGTCTGGAGCCCTGGTACTGCAGGATGAGGGAGACAGGAGCCCACGGGGAAACGAGGTCTGCCCACGTCGGATGGCAGTCTGGAGGGGCCTGAGACGCCTGTGGCTGGAGGCAGCATGTATCCTAGTGACTAGGAGGGGGTGGCTTGCTTTCTTTTCTTTTTTAACTGCACCAGAGCTTGTGGAATCTTAGTTCCACAATCAGGGATCAAACCTGGGCCCACGGTGGTGGAAACTTGGGAGTCCTAACCACTGGACCGCCAGGGAATTCCCCTGGGGGTTGTTTTCTTAAAGATGTTTTCATTATAATGATAAATGTTTACTATAAAAATTTCAGAAAATGCTAGCAAGGTAGAAAATATTTGCCAGCATCTACCTCAGATAACCCTGGTGTCTCAGACAGTAAAGAATCTGCCCATAATACGGGAGACCCCAGTTTGATCCCTGGGTCACAAAGACCCCCTGGAGAAGGGAATGGCAACTCACTCCAGTATTCTTGCCTGGAGAATTCCATGGACAGAGGGGCCTGGTGGGCTGCAGTCTGTAGGGTCACAAGGAGTCAGACACTACTGAGCAACTAAAACACACACACATGCCTCAGAAAACCACTCCTAGTTTTTTTCTTTCTGTTCTCCTCACTCAGTAGGTACTATTTTTTGTTCATTTTAGCTGGGAGAGCTGCAGGGTCTTAGTTCCCTGACCAGCAATTAAGCCCAGGCCCTCCTGCAGTGAAAGTGCAGAGTCCTGACCTCTGGACTGCCACGGAAGTCCCTCGATGCGTACTTTTAATTTTTTTTTTAATTTTTTTTTCAAGGCGTACTTTTAAATTTTGATGTTTTCTTTTCTTGCCATAGACACCTTTATAGCCTGCTTTAAAAAATGACTTCCATTTCTCCTTATTTCAAGCTCTCTGTAAACATTCTTTTAAAAGCCTCCATTAAGTGGACATACCACAATTTCTTTAGTCATTCTTTTAATTCAGGAGACAAATATAGATTGATCTGTGATGAGGATCTTTCACCATCAAGTTTTGCC